AGCACCGAAACTTCCCTGAACCTTGACTGAACCTCGCTTGACGGGGTTCGGGAACTTGAGTCGCGAGGTCCAAACGAGGTTGAGTTGATGTTTAAATGTCCGCGCATACTAAAGGTATGCTAAAGGTAACAGAGGTTGGTTGAATATTGGATTTGAATTTCTGAAAAATTAGGAGCATAAATACGGAAAAATAAAAAGAAAGCAAATGAATTTAAAAAACTATTGAAAATTGCATTTTCTATGACATAGAAAAGCGTAAATAAAACAGAAATTAATAGACAATCATAAATACAGTTATATTTACACCCTGAATGTCACTACGGAATATTCCCATGACATTTTGATTTTCAAAGAAGATCATGAGAATATTCCACTGTGGTATTCAACAGATATTCAGGGAATATACAGTGCTGCTTGGGGTGCTATGCCTGAATGATTATTCTGTCAAGAAGGCTGGAATTAAAAAGAACTAAAGAAATCAATTCCATTTAATACCTGATTTTTTTGTTATTTCGTAAGTCTTTGTAAAGAATAGACAGCATCAAACTTGAATCCCTTTTAATTCCGTTTTCGTAAAGCGTGCAATATGAAATAGAATATATTTAAATGAATTAAATACGTTTTATTAATAATTTATTTATCGATAAAAATATGAGTTATTTTTTATTTGTAATCAACATTATTCGTATAAAAAAAGTGAAGGCGACATTTTATATTCAACGCATAACCTAAAAAAATGTTGAGACAATATATTATTATGTTAAATTTTTGATGCCTCACGTTTAAATTTATTTAACTTTTTACCACCATCATATTCACTGTAAATTATATTTATTATTTTCACATTGAACAGAAAAAACACAGCAAGTTTATTCACTATTACTTCTAAATAAAATCATGAGCATGTTATTTTCGAAGCACAAAAATATGTACAATTGTCATTATAATAGAAAGCACACTTACCGATTTTTACATAATGCAAAACGAATTTTAGAATTAAGTGGAATTCATTTCGTTGTCCATCTATCTTATTTCGATGACTTTGAAAAAGTGGAAAAATCAGGTATTAAATGGAATTAAAATTTTTCAATTTTGTATACGATTATGAGATAACTTTAATTTTTTTCTATTCCAGACTTCTTGCCGGGATGTCAAAGAATTCAAAAAATCACAAAATTTATTTAGACTTATAAAATAATAGATTTTTTTGACCAATACTTCAGTTTAACAAATACAAGATTTGCTTTTGATAAAAAAATTAGTGGAACGGAGGAATAGTAAGGAGACCGATCTTGCTGTTGTAGCGCTTCTGAAAATGTCAGAAAAATATGCACGATAAATGCCAGTTTCACTGCATTCTACTCAACCACTAAAGTAGCTGAGCATGCGCATTAGCCATGTGCTGTCTCTTTCTCTCGCAAAAAAAAAAAATTGATGTCCAATGCGCATGTTCAACTACTTTGGCCAGTTGAGTACAATGCACTGAACCTGGCACTTATCGTACATGTTTTTCTGACATTTTCAAACGCAGAGATCGGTCTCCTTACTATTCCTCCGTGTAGTGGAATTATTTAAGGAAAGGAAAAAAAAGTGCTGCCACCTACCTTCTAAAAAGCGCGGCTCTATTGATTTTATCGACAAATGTTAATAATAAACTGTAATAATAGATTGAAATTAATAAAAACATTAAATTTTTATAATTATTTTACAATAATCATCATAAAAAACAAAATCTTATTGTTTCAATCATTTAACTATATATTTTATCATTTTTTATATATTTGCGACAAAATTTCAATCTCAACCTCGTGTTCCACGAATGCTCTGCCAATTTCGTGGAGCATTCGCATCATACAATCCGCCAGAGTTCCTGTCATCAATTTAATAATGGTGCACTCACACCTTTTTGGCTGCTTCCTGCCTGCAGGTTACCATGGCAACGCACAAGTGTGAGTGAGACAGAAAATTTGAATATTCAAATTTTTAAATTTTCCGTCGCACTCGCTCTCATGCGTTGCCATGGTAACCTGCAGGCAGCTAAAAAGGTGTGAGAGCACCCTAACTCTCTCTGTTATTACCAAGTTTCTCTGTATTACCAAATTTTTTTCATTATTCATTATTACGGATAATATCTAAACTCAGAGCTTTGGGAAAATTTAGAAAAATTTTAATTTTATTGTTTTTAAACTTATGGCTTACACACTGAAAGAAAATTCATACTACTAAGTATTAAACTCATATTAGAGTTTAATATAAATGTTACAATTTAGGGAAAAAGTGCACCTATGTTGATTACTATTACAGTTTTTATGAAAATATATAATGAATTTAAGAGTAACTATTATTTTAAGAAATAAGAATTAGTATATTTATTTTAAAAATTAGTATTTTCTTTATGAATTCACAGAATACGAAATATTATAATAAATAATTTCACAAAATAGTAAGAAAAATAACATATATCCGTATACTTATTTCACATTTTGTAAAACTTTATATTAAAAGTCACGGATTTTCCCGAGAGACTACGAATTTAACCGAAGTTCTGTCTGTTTGCGGCTTCGTGTCCTACTCGAACTTCTACGACTTGATCCGATTTTCGAAAGTGTTGTTAACCAGCAGAACGTACCTATCAACTGTCAACACACGTGTTTCAAATGTTTATAGTGTTTTAAATTCTTTTTAATTTAAATTTATTTTCAATTTATAAAAAATGTTTTATTAAAGTTATTTAATAATAATAAATTTATTATTAATTTTATTATTATTTTTATTAATTTTTATTTTTTGATGTCATCTTTACAATTATTTAATTTTTATAACAATCATAATTTTTAATCTGAAAAAAAAGAAAAATCTATATAAACAATTAATAATAAAAATGAACCCAGCGTAACCTCTATAAAATTACACCATTGGCACTAGTAAACTATTTTTTATTATTAAGTTATTATAAGTAAACTTCTTTCTCGCAAGTGGTAAAAATATTCAGTAGTTAGTATATAAGAAAACGATATATGCCGACCCCCAGCGAAATTTATCGTTATGCGTATAGAATTGTAAGTGTAGGTTTCGTTGCGATCGTGTAATGTCTATGTATAAGCGAAATGAACGTGCGTGTTCATTAGTATGTGTATTAACCTGTATCGTAAGTGTGAATGTGTTGTTCCTAGTCTCACTCCTCTTCCTCCCGAGAATTTACGGAAACGTCCGACAGTTTCCGCTTTTTTTCCCTTTTTTCTTCCGACATTCTCAATTTTTCGTATAAAGTTTTACAAATATTAGAACGCTACATTCCATATAATGCAACAACTCTATGAGAATTTAATATAATATTTTCAAATATTGGTAATCTTTTTACGTTCTTTCTACAATAATTATTAATATTTGAAAAAAGATTTTAAGTTGGAACTTTAATATAAAGTATATTGAATTTTAATAAAAAGTACACTTTTCCCTAAATTCTAAAAGAATATATTAAAATGTAATACGCATTTTGTTATTTTTTCCTATGAAATTTCTTTCAGTGCACAGCTGATCCTTCGTTGACTTAAACATTCTGCCAAAATTGGTTCAATATTTAAATCTGAGGCTTCCCAATCAATAATTTACTACTGGCGCAGTACTGGCGCAGTACTGACAAGTAATGGCGCAGTACTGGCACCCAGTATTGGCGCCAGAGTTGGCGTAACTTTGGAATGATAACATTTTACCAGTATTGGCTACCAGAGTTGGCACCAGTACTGGTAACCACTGCTGGTTCAGTACTGGCCGAGCACTGGCAGTTTTGTAATTTCTTGTATACGAAAAGAAAACTTTAACTGTAACAGAGATAAGTTTCACTTCAGGTAATACTTTTTTGGTATATACTTAGGAAAAAGTGTCTTAAATTTTTAGCAACCCAACACAAATTAAATATTAATTAAATTAATCAACTAACTAATTAATATTTTATTATATAAAATCGAAAACACCAAGAATTTTTATTCTTTATTATTAGGCTTGGTCTTAGGAAACTTTTTGTTTAAATAATTTTAACCCACAGAAAAGCAAAATAAAACACATTTTAATTTTGAAAAATAAAATCAACTTTTTTTAAACTAGTATTAATGAAAAAGAAAATCTATTTGAGCCAGTACTGGCTCAATATCGGCTCAGTTGTGGTTTGCCAGTACTGGGAGGGTGGTACTGCAACAGTACTGATACAATGAAAATACCAGTACTGGTTTAGTACAGACTGCCCAGTTTCGGAAGCCAATACTGAACCTGTACTGCGCCAATAGTGAACTCTGGTATAATACTGAAATTTTTGGTTGGGTTAGCATTCATGTCTACACTTTCAGCTGAGGGCCAATGTTGTTTACAATATTGGGTCGATCTTGTTAACATGCTTCCAATATTGGTTAAATGTTACGCCAATCAATTTTTTCGACTGGGTTATTCTGAATATTAAAATTAAAAGTTGACTGTTGAATACAAATTGCATTCAATTAACAACGTTTCTTTAAAAAATGTTGGAACTTATATTATGAAGTATCTAAAAATACCTTCAGAGTAAAAGCATTAAAGTATCATGCAAAGCAACGCCGCGCCGACTGAGAGTTACAGAATGTAGGTAAGAAACATATGTTGACCTGAAAAATTAGAGCGAAAGAAGGGTCGCGCGAGGCCAAATAAGCGAGAGTTGTTGGGGTGTCTTGAGTAAGTGAAGAGCACAATTCGAGACAAGGAACGAGAGGGTAGTCTGGTAAGCACAACAACAGAAGAAGATAGCGAGTGAAATGAGCTTTTGCGCTTGCGTTTGCACCACCCAAATCCTCTTTTCCCCTTCTACATTTATGCAACAACCCCTCAACTCTCTTGCAATCATATCGGTTCTTCTCATGCTATTTTCCTATTGCTGTCTCTCGCTTTCTTACTCTGTCACTCTCACTGAATCCTTCTCGCGCATCCGTTCAACTAACCCTCCCACACCACATGGCGCTGCTGGTTACTCCGCTCAATTTCTAACCAGTGTGGCGCTACGCGCTCCAGGAAGATATCGTACTACCCGAATATCATAAAGTTCCTTATTGTCACCAAACATATTCTGGGTCTACGTAATCATTTGTTCATTCAAACAGAAACAACTTTTTCACCAATCCGCAAAGTTATTTAGACTATAACGTCACACAGTTAATGCGGTTTACAGTAAATGTGAGTACGATCTATGACAATGAATTTCAAAAAGAATGTGAGTGGCAATGTCAGTGTAAGTGTCCTAAAGCCTCTGCCCATAGCTTCTTGGGTATACAGTTGATGTTCAGTGACAGAATTCCATTTCCTTCACTCCATATATATATATATATATATATATACATTTGAATATGTCAGGGACAATCGTTAAACAAATATTTATAGCTATAGGTAGCTATTTGTTTACGTTGAAATTTAAATGATTATAGTATTAATAATATCAACAAAAATAAAAGCGATGGAAAATATATAATTGTGTAAATCACAATATAACAATATTACACCAATTAGAATACTAATAAATCATAAACGTCGTAACAAAAGGGATGAGAAGAAATCACTAAAGCAATTGAAATGGCTTGTCCTTTTTCACAATCATTTGCAATAACTAGCTGTCAAGAAGATGAAGAAGGCAAAGACGTAACCGACGATCATCCAAGATATCGTGTAAAACGAGATGATAAGCTCAAGCCTTTTAGACAATCTTCAGTGCAAATTACCTCATCCTTGCTTGGCGAGGACATTGATGAAGAAGAAGATACCCAGACGCTCAACCTTAAACATTTGCGTGCCGCTGTACTTATGCTGACAAATCCGTCGGTAAGAAAAAAATATATTTTACTTTCTTTTAGTATTAGCAAGTGCTATACACCGTATAAAATACATTCCATTGAAAATACCAATATACTTTTCTATACTTATTTATTAAACATAACTAATCAGTGTGAAAATTTTTCTCTATATCTTATATTGTCTTGTACAAGTTTAAGACGAACATTTTATGAAATGGTTTTTCATATTACACTGTAAAAAATGAACACTACTTTAGTTTTGGTGACAACAAAATTCGGTTAAATAGTGCTCAAACTTGGGAAATTTCTAGTTCTATTGGGATGGTAATTGTTGTTAAAACAATTTTTCCATTTATATAGATCACTATTTTTTGAGGAGGAGAGGGTGAACTTTTTGGGGTATCGTTTACCTTAATAATTTTTTTTCTTCAATAATGAAAAAACTCCTTCAATATATAAGTTTTGATAAGTTTTTTGACGCCCTTCGATTGTTGAAATGCATTTTTGAAAAAAAATGTTTGATTACAAAATTGGAAATAAAAAATAAATTTGAATGTTTTTGAGTGAGACATGAGGTTTTCTTATTAAGATAGATGGAAAAATAGGCCTGGAATATTTAGTCTTAAAAATTAACATTTTTTACTTAGTAGCGCCATTTTGTGTGGCCTCAAAAAAGATATCGAAACTAATATTGAAAAACTTTTTTATTTCCTTATTTTAAAAAAAAATTATTCAGGTAAACGGTTAACTTTAAAAAAAATTTACATTTTCAATACATAGATTTTTGTAAAATTTTTAGTTTTTAAACATTTTATAAAAAAAAATTAATACCTTTTTATTGCATTTTAGACTATCTGCAAATAAGATTTCATATATAATTATGTGACGCTCCGCGAGAGAAGGAACCTTAACTCAAGAGTAAATAAGGTCCCTTCTCTCGTAGAGCGTATAACAAATAAGTATGCAGATAAAACAATTCAAATATTTTAGAACTATTTTTAATAAACAAATTTTAGAAATAATATTCCTAACCATAAACTATACTATTTAAAAGTCGAATGTGGGAGAGATACATACATCCTATTTATTGTTTGTTTGTTATATGTACCAAAAATAACTATAACCTCTAACGACGGAGGATTTTTATAATTAATAATCTGTACGAAATTTCATTGATGATAATTCTTATATCAATGCAAATAGAAAAGATTTTTAATTATAATTTGTTTCAGTTGAATTTCTTTAAGTTAAACAATGTATCGTGCCTTTTTATATTATCAAAAATCAGTACATTAACTTGATTTATGATATATTTATCTTTACAGAATGAAGTAATTGCTGTCGCTCTAGAAGATTTTTTAAGCAAAAATGAAGTTCCATTGGCAATTTCCGCATGTTTGTAAGTATTTTGTCAGTTGGGTGCAGAAACGTGCCACTTCAGAACAGTCCTATGAAAAACAATTCGTTTCGAATGGCTGTACATGCTATAGAAGCAGAGATAGACCACTGCGCATCATTTAAGTTGAAAAATTTCCAAAATATTGTGCTACCTACCTATGTGGGTTTTATTCCTTTAGATTATCAATATTGAAAAAATTTGCTCAAGTTGTAAATTTAAAAATAATAATTTTTTAATTTTACACATTACTTAACAAAAATTATAATTTGTATGATTATTATTTTAATAGGAAATACAACTTTGGTTAACTTATGTGTAAACTTGGCAAATTATTTTTTTTTAATTTATAACCTGATTAAATTTTTTTCAATATTGATAATCTAAAACAAAAAAGTCATGCTCGTCTTAAGAGATATATTTCACAATTAAAACAATTAAAGACAAACTTCATTTTTGCATTTTTTTCAACTTTCTGCTGGGATGCCATTAATTTATAAATCTTTTTTGGAACAGACTGTTTTTCATAACTAACTATGTAAATAAATAAAAATTATGCCAAAATATTTTTCCACTGTACAAAACAAAATATATTAACAATAAAATGTTCTTTATTTTTGTTTTAGAGAAAAACTTCTTTGCAATATTGAAATTGAAGAGAATTACAATCTATTAGAAGACATTTATGAGACGCTTAATGATGAATGCGGTAAGTTTTTACTAAACTATTACATACTAGTTAATTAAATACAGGAGTAAACTGAGTAGAATTTAATAATAACAAAATAGAACAAAGTTTTCAACAATAATTCATTCAGTAAAAACTGATAAGGATAAGTGGTACAGTCGTTGCCCACATTACAACATTTACAAAAATATTAAATAAATAATCTTGTAATATATTTTGTTTTGTATTCGAATCTAAATTCAGAAAGAGACCCCAATTTTGTATCAATATTACATGTCATTATACCCCCCAAGCAACACTGTATATCTCCTGAATATCCCTTGAATATCCGTTGGAATATTTCCATGATCTTTCAGGAAAATCAAAACGTCCGCTTCATGGGAATATTCCACGGTGATATTTAGGGAATATTCAACATCGAAAAAAATGATGCTATAAAATTATTATTATTATTATTATTATTATTTCGTTAGTTAAATTTTTAACCAACTATTTATTATTATAACCAAATTTTAAGTAGTGTGAATTAATTTATAAAGTTAAATTTACCAATGTAAATTATTAACAGTAAATTTGTTGATTTAACTACTGATACTTTGGTAAATTTAACTATAGCAACCTACTTAAAAAAATATAGTAAAATTAACCACTAAAATCATGGTGTATAAATGACCGCATGTTTGTCATTTCAAAGATGAATTGTAGCATCATTTGTGTTGCGCGTCGTAGTGACATATGCGTGTTGTGTTCAGTGCTTAATTTTCAAAGTAAAACATTAAAACTTGAAGAATTGCTATTAAAAATGAACAAGTCGTGTTTAGAAGTCGTGCTTTCATAACGTGAAATGTTTTTAGTAAAAAAATATTTTAAGTGTACACGGTTTAAACGTTTAAAGTCATTATACGAAACCTAACCTTACTTTCTTTTGGCACATTGTGGAGTGTTTTTACATGCGTTTTACATTAGAGTGAAGTTATTTTTTAATTTTATATTTTAAATTAAAGAAAATAAGTCATTAAATGTTTATTTCGACTGATGAGAACAATTTATTAAGAATAAATACTGGAATACCTGAACCATAACTATAATATTTGTTCATATCTATAACATTTATTGTGAATTAGTTTGATTTTGATAAACAGATTTCAAAAAATGTCTTGCATTTATAACGACAAAGTTTCAAGGCGTGAAGATTTATAATAATTTAACATATTTTTAATTGAATACTTTTAAATTAGTGTGGAGTTAATCCGGCTTTTTTATCATTACATTTGTTACATCACAAAAATAAATTTTAAGTGGTAAAATATAAATTATTTATATTATTTTGCAGATATAGACGCAAACGATTTTTTAGATCATCTTGGGCAAAATGTAATTGCAACTGCGTGTGTAGGCTTATTGGAACGAGCTTTTCGATGTTTAGGTAATGATTTATTAGCATTTTTAACAACCTTAGATGGTGTTAATGATGTAGTACAACACCAGTCGGGTTCAGACAACGAAGCTGAATTCGTGTGTATAGCAACGCCAGGTGCGCTGGAACTTCATTTTACTACTGATCACCCGTCCATTGCATATCTTTTAGTTGGAAGTCTTAAAGGCATTGCCAGACAATTTTATAACGACAAAACAGATGTGTACATATTGCCAGATCCTTATAACATCAAGTTTTTTAGGTACAAAATATATCTCTATAAACTATATATGTTCATATATATATATATTTTTTTTCCAGACATAAAACATTTTTACTACTCTCTAAATTTGAATTAGTATAGTCGCTATTTTAATTATCTCAGAGTATGCAGCTGGGAATCATCGAATAGTCACTAATTCAAATTTAGAGACGAACAATACGATAAATTATATAAAGATTAGCACGAGGGGGAATTTACTAGTTAAAAACGTGTACACTTGACTACCGGTATTACACCTCATATTACCCTTATTACTAAGTATTACACGTTATTACAGAGTATTACACATTATTACAGAGATATTACAGAGTTTTTTGCGTTATTACACGTTATTACACAAGTATTACAGGAAGAGTACTTACACTTGACTACCTGAGTAAATTCCCCCTCGGATTAGCATATAAATCTGCAGACGTGAATGAAATTTTAAATATTGCATAACATTTTTTTATGTAGATTAAAAAAAATAATTCTTAAACATACTAATCATAAAAGATAAAACTTAATTACCCAGTTACCGTCTATGCTAGAAAAATTCATATTATATTTAATATACATGTAAATATGAAGCAAATATGCACTACAGCTATTGAAATCTAAGATACATATGTATATTAAATTTAATGTGCCAACATATGGCGGCCGTAGAGGCCCATTTCACCAACCGTGATTATTTTCTTGATATTGAAAATTTATTTAAAATTATAATAACAGTGCGTAATTCTTCAACTAATGTTAAAATCTTATTTTATAAACAACCCACACAGCACAGCATATTACATAGAGTATACTACGACCATATGCATCTACCCAAACAGCACGAAAACTTGCAGCAAACTTGCAAGAAGCTTGCTGTGCAGGATGTGCAAGATTGCAGTGCAAACATGTAGCAATTTTGGTGCAAGCAACAAAATGTCCTCTTGTGGCAAGCTTACAGGACAAGTATGGCTGCGCAATAAATTTTTTAACCCTTAAGACCAGGTCCAAGTCGTGTCAGCTGTTCCATTGAAACTTCCAAGGAACAGCTGACTCGACTTGGACCTGGCCTTAAGGGTAGGTCCTAGTAAAGCAGCACCACCTATATCGAAACTAAAATTTTGGAAAATTATTTACAGTATTTACTTGAAAGCAAGACAATAAAATACTTTTTCCTTCAGGACAATTGATTATTGTCAAGAAATATACCAGCTAAAACTTTTTTTGAGTTAAAACAATAAAAAAAAAATTAATGACGATAAATTAAATATGAGCATATTTTTTTACGAAAATTTTTAAGATATTTTCTCGGAAATAACAAAAAAAATGCAATTTTTATTTGGAGAATTAATAAACACTAAAAAATACACCAGCTAAGATTCACCAATCACGAAAATAACAACAAAATCTTTTTTTAACATAACACATCAACACTATTTTACTGATTTTGACAGCCATTTGGTAGATAATATATGTCACAAGTTATTTCGTGATTATGCCAACAGGAGGAGATTGGCGCTGTTGCTAACAAATGCAAATATATTATTTGCCAAATGGATGTCTAAATCAGTAAAAATAGTGTCGATATGTTATGTTAAAAAAAAGTTTTTTTTGTTATTTTCGTGATTGGTGAATCTTAGCTGGTATATTTTTTAGTGTTTATTAATTCTCCAAATGAAAATTGCATTCTTTTTTGTTATTTCCGAGAAAATATCTTAAAAGTTATCGTAAAAAAATATGCTCATATTTAATTTATCGTCATTAATTTTTTTCATTATTTTAACTCAAAAAATGGTTTGGCTGGTATATTTCTTGACAATAATCAATTATCCTAAAGGAAATAGTATATTGTGCATCTAGGGAGGAAAACGGTTGATTTCCGCGAGTGTAGTTTGCAGTTCGAGACGTATAGCGAGTGCCCAAGCTAGTGACGTCACAGGGAGGGAAAGTGCTTTTCCTCCCTGTCAGTGACGTCAACGGGAGGGAAAGTAACTTTCCATCCCGCTTGCCGGGAATGACATACTTTTCTCCCCCTTAACAGGTAAGAAATGGTGTACTTTCGGTGCGTGTGTTAGAAAAAAGTATTTGATTGTCTTGCTTTCAAGTAAATAATGTAAATAATTTTCCAAAATTTTGTTTCGTTGTAGGTGGTGCTGCACTCTAAATCTGAATCAGTGAAAATTTCACTGAATTCAAATGAGTGGCTCAGTTTTCTTTAATTCACCAGTCGAATTTCACTGGGAATCAGTAAAAATCACTGATTCTCAGTGAAATATAACTGTCGAATTAAAGAAAACTGAGCCACTGATTTGAATTCAGTGAAATTTTCACTGATTCAGATTTAGAGTGTGCCTTACTAGGACCTACCCTCAAAGCAGGGTGCCCTTTATGATTATTTAGTAACAAATTGTTTCGAAAATTTTTTCTTTTAGTATTATACAAGCTTGCAGCAACCTTGTCACAAGAGGACATTTTGTTGCTTACACCAAACTTGATACATGTTTGCACTGCAATCTTGCATATCTTGCACGGCAAGCTTCTTGCAAGTTTGCTGAAAGTTTTCGTGCTGATTGGGTATGCTTACAGTGAAGCGGACATTTTAAGTTAAGAGCATTTGAACCTTCGTGACGTCACAAATCATGGCGCATGACACGCAAACTTCTCAGGTATGTGAAAAGCGCAATTTTGAATATTTTTTAAAAAAACCTTTTGGAAAATGTTCAGAATAACATAGACTCTGTCTGTTATGTGCGGAAAATTCAAAATTTTGCGTTTAAAACGTTTTTTAAACAATGTTAAGGTCACAAATCATGGCGCATGACACGCAAACTTCTCAGGTATGTGAAAAACACAATTTTGAATATTTTTTAAAAAAACCTTTTGGAAAATGTTCAGAGAAACATAGACTATGTCTGTTATGTGCGAAAAATTCAAAATTTTGCGTATAAAACGTTTTTTAAACAATGTTTAAGTTGGTTGTCACAAGTAAGGAAAAATACACGAATTGCTTATATGTAGGCATTGTTTAAAAAACGTTTTAAACGCAAAATTTTGAATTTTTCGCACATAACAGACAGAGTCTATGTTATTCTGAACATTTTCCAAAAGGTTTTTTTAAAAAATATTCAAAATTGTGCTTTTCACATACCTGAGAAGTTTGCGTGTCATGCGCCATGATTTGTGACGTCACGAAGGTTCAAATGCTCTTAACAGTAAGTCCTCAGACAGTTTACGATATGAGGCATTTTACGTGTAATGTCCTGAGTTAAAAAATTGATTTCTTGAAAAAAAGAGAAACTTAGGGAAATTGTTGTCCTACCTGATAGTAAAATAACCCCAAAAAAATTGTTGACTTTTTTGAAATTTTGGGGGAGATAGAGGGGGTCAATTTTATCAGTTTTCCCTGACACCGCCTACTAATTGAATTTTTTCTGTCTATAAATGCAATAAAAAGAATTTTGGCAGGTATATTTTTTTAAGGTTTCTTCATGCTCTTTCCAATGGTGAATTTCGTTTTTTAAAATTTTTGAATTTTGAACTTGATTTTCTATAATTAAACATATAAATTTGCCATTTTCACTAAAATCGATGAGTTTTTTTTTTAAATAAATAATTGCAAACGAAAGCACAGGTTTTTTCCGATCTGTATATAAATTTTCAGAATGCCATTTTTTTTGTTTTCGAGATATTAAATATCAAAAATTTCAAAAAAGTCAAAAAATTTTTTGGGGATATTTTACTATCAGGTAGGACAACAATTTCCCCAAGAAATCAATTTTTTAACTCAGGACATTACACGTAAAATGCCTCATATATGTAATTGTATATTTCTTACATGTAAGCCCTCTGTAAATTGGTTGTAATAAACTGTGCTGTTTGGAAAGAATATGCATAGACTGAATAAAATGCAATTTTTTATTTCTGATTCTTATAATTAATGAAATTTAAAATACTTCCCACACAGCACAGTATATTGCTGTAAGCTTACCTCAAGCTTACATGTAATTTTTGTAAGCTAACCCTGTAAGCTTCAGGTAAGGTCGAGGTAATATAAAAATGTCCGCCATACAGTAAGCTTACACAGTAATGTCATGGTTAACTTACATTGTAATGTCATGGTAAGGTTACAGTAAGCTTACACGGCAAGTTTTCAAAGGTATCAATAAATAATTTTTTTAAAATATTTATGCGCAGTAGCTTTCTATGGCACTTACGAATGCGCAGTAAATTTTTTTAAGCAAACCCTACCAGGGTTTTTTATATAAATGACAAAATAAATATAATTGTGCAAAACAATTTATTGTTTACTGTAAGTTGATAAATTAATACTTTGTTATTTGTTAGCAATTAATATAAGCTTACCGTGTAAGCTTACTGTAACCTTACAGTGATGTTACCGTGTAAGCTTACAGTGATCTTACCGTGTAAGCTTACCATGACTTTACAATGTAAGTTAACCATGACATTACTGTGTAAGCTTACTGTATGGCGGACATTTTTATATTACCTCGACCTTACCTGAAGCTTACAGGGTTATCTTACAAAAATTACATGTAAGCTTGAGGTAAGCTTACAGCAATATATTGTGCTGTGTGGGTTTGTACACGGAAAAAAATTGTTCGTGAAACTTTCGTAAACTAGTTGTTTACTTTTGGACGGGCCCAAAGTTTGGAAATCTTTCATTAACATTTTCCAAGATTTCACGAACTTTTTGTTGTGCGCGTGCACAGACATTGATTGTTATGAAGTGGGTGATGAACGTTCGTGAAATCTTGGAAAGCTATTATGGCTCCGTACGACGTTTTTTAATTTACAGTCAATGATACCAACATGATGCGTGATCTAAAAGTGGTAAACATAATCTGGCTTTTGAGAATTATATTGGTATCCTTGTCTGGGTAAAATAAGTAATTGTCGCGCGCAGTCATAACATTTAATTAAAATAAAACAAAATAACATAAAACAATTTAAAAAAGTCTAATTTTATAGTTTTATTGTCAATATATAAAACTGGACTGCAACTGGGTGTTAACTGAACGGAAATTGAGTTAAATATGGTATACAAGAAATGTGAGAAACATCTAAACACAATTACTTCTGATACAATGCAGATTAAATTGAAGAATTGTAATTATAAATATACTTATCGTATATTGTCACTTTAGATATCGCATAACGCCAGAACGCTACGCAGAAAATTTAGACATTGACGATGACTTGGATGTTACGTCGCCACACGTTTGTCAACTTTCCAATGAGGCAAAAGACCTTAGAATAGGAGTGGCTAGTTTTTGCAAAGCTTTTCCATGGCATTTCGTAGTGGATAGACAACTTGAACTTGTCCAGCTAGGTGTTGGATTTATGCGAATTTTTGGACAACATTTAAATAGCATTGGTAGACATATTTCATCTTATTTCGTATTTACAAGACCTAAAGGTGTCACGCTTACATTTCATGAAATTCTCAAAAGAGCCAATACTCCTTTCGTCCTTGCACTTCAGAAACCAAAAACTGCCGATAAATTTCAAACAGAGGTTTGTAAATTATGTTTTTCAATAATAATTCGCCGAAGATACACATGAATGTTACATAACATTCATGTACCAGTAACATGGTACACGAATAAGCGGACATTTTCACAGAATTGTTATGGAACTATTACATGCATGTTACTCGTACACACTGGGATTCTATTTCAAACCGTTTCATCTTCGAAAAACGATAGCGAGCAGAGCGTTTTTTAAGTAAATTTTATTCTATAAAAAATAAATTATTCATAAAATGTCATACAATATTCCGAAAGAGAATTTAATTGCCTCAGGATTGGTCTAACTTTTTTTAAAACTTCTCACAATTTTATAAAGAAATTCCGTTTTGAAATATAAAACTCTATAGATATCTCAAAACACCCCCTATTAAATGTTCATGTTACTTACGTGAAAAAAATGTTCAGTTCATCCACAAATAGCACGGCTTATTGCTGTGAAGTTACTGTAAGGATATCTGTTGGGCTTGAAAGATTATATTGTGTAAGCCTACAGTAAACATAAGACCATATTAAAATTTCCGCCTCACAGTAAGTTACACAGTATGGTTATGATAAACTGACACTGTAAGGTTGTTGTAAGCTTACATGGTAAGGTTAGTGTAAGCATAGAGTACACGGAAAAAAATCTTCACCTGGAACAGCGATAAGTTTCACTGGAACAGCGATATTTTTCACTAAAACAATGAAAGTTTTCTCTATTCTAGAGAAACATATACCTGTTCCAGATAAAGAATTTTTTCCGCGTAATATGAAAATGTATTAAGTATAATTATATTATCTATAAATTTTTTTATAGAAAATAAGATATTGAATAAAGTAGTAAATGGCCGACTCCAATAGGGTTTGTTAAATAAAATTTACTGCTCATAAATATTAATAAAATGTTCCCACGTGAAAAAGTTCCCGGGAGACTCCCGGGAATTTCTCAGAAAAAATTCCCGCAAACTTGTTAATCCTTACGTGAAGCATTGTAGGTGTCTCTGAAACAAAAAACTTTTGTTTAAGGCGTAAAAAATTTTTGTAAGTATTTAAAAAGTTTCATTTAACACTAGGAAGTACCCAGAAGCATATTTAAAGTTTAGGTTAATCATATTTTGCATGTTAATTACTTATAGGAACCTATTCAAGGTTTCAGTCTGAGATCCAGGTAATTAATCGACATTTTCCAATGTATTAAACTGAAAAAAAATCAATAGTCGATTACTAGGATCTCTTCAGGTACTTCTCTAAAAGTTAGTTAAATTTCGATAACTTCTTCGAGGAAGAAAACCCTAAAATATGAAAGACGATCGCTACAAGAGATTTCCAGGTACCTATGATTACTCAGGGTAATTTTTTGTCAACTTCTGGAACAAGTTAACCTTAAAACGTGATAAATGATCACTAGGAAGTTTCAAAATACTTTCCTAGTGTTCAGGTCGTTTTCATAAACTTTTTCAGGGAAGTTTATGTTAAACAGCTCAATCGTTTACGAGAAGCAATTATCATATTACCTAAACTCAGTCAAAATCAAATATCTACAATTAACCTTCAAATATTTGCTCCTAGGTCAATTGATTTTTATCAACTGTCTCCGTCAAATTAAATATAAATCAGTTAATTATTTATTCCATGTAATTTCAAACAAAAAGTTTTTATCATAATTAAAATTTTTTCTTCTGATTATTTATTTATCAATTTATATTTATATTTTTAATTCTTGAAAAACAACTAAAATATCTTCAAAAATATCGTTGATTTTTAATTTTTATTAAACTTTTATGTACAGACATTTACTAAATTACAGAATAAAACATTTTGATTAATTTTTTTTAACTATAAAACATTCTCGAAGTATTAAACATAACATACAAAAATACCAACAAAATTGTCTGAATTTGAAATTTCATACCTTAAATTTTAAATATGCTTCTGGGTACTTCCTAGTGTTAAATGAAACTTTTTAAATACTTACAAAAATTTTTTACGCCTTAAACAAAAGTTTTTTGTTTCAGAGACACCTACAATGCTTCACGTAAGGGTTAACAAGTTTGCGGGAATTTTTTTTTGAGAAATTCCCGGGAACTTTTTTACGTGGGTTATTTATTAATAATATTCTAAGCTTACAGTAAGATACCTTTTTTGCTAACTTAGCTTTATTGTGTAAGCTCACAGTGAGGCAGAAGGAAGGTCTTTTGAAGGTGGAACTGTTTGAAATAGAATTCCCAAACTATATGAATTAACATTTTTTTGAAAATAAACTAGAGACTATTCTAAAGGGCAGGTCAAAGTCGATGCGATTTTCCTATCGAAGCTCTATATATGTAAGAATTGCATCGACTTTGACCTATCCTTAAAATTGTAAATCGCTTGTCCATTCAAAAAACAATTAACATTCAGGGTTAAAAAAAAATCCATTACAATCACTGAGAGAAATTTAACTCATCATTTGAACTTTTTGAGGGACAGAATCACGATTATGTGCAGACGCAGTACTAAAATCGAACAGCAACAGCGCCAATCGAGTTCGCGGATATACTGACCTAACTTTTTGGAACGAATGATTTAGTACAGTATCTGTCCACCAAAAAGCGCAGATGAGATGCAATTTTGAACCGATGTTGCTCGAAAGGTTAGGTAAATTATCTGAACTTGTGTTCAGTACAGAATCTATGTTAAATATTTCTCAGTGATAAAATAATGGTATACTTTGTTCAATTGTTATATATATTTATTATTAATAAAAATATTCCTGACTTTTTAATTATACACACACAAAAAACCTGAGCTCAAAATGAGTCAGGTAGGTGGCGCCACTTTCTATGTCATTTAACATTGACTCATTTTTAACTTCAACAAAATTAATACCTATAGGTCCAGGTTTTTTTTGTTTAAAAACGACGATATTATTCAATATTTATTATAATGTATATGATTTCAACTCAGTTTGTATCTTCTTTTGGTATTATAATGGCAGTCATAGTTATTATCACAAAATCTCTAATAAATTTTATGTAAAATAACCTCTTACAGTAAATATTTGTTCAATTTATTTATTTTTTAATTTGTTTTATAATTCATTAATTGTTAATTTATAAATATATTTTTTTACAAGTTCTATATATTAATAAATTATTATATTTAATTATTTAGTAAATTATTATAGATATTTCTGAACAGGGATTGGAATTTAAAGGACAAATGGTTCACTGCCAGGAGTCTGAATCAATTCTTTTTGTTGGATCGCCCTTTCTTAACGGATTGGAAGGACTAACCGGTAGAGGACTCTTTATCTCAGATATTCCTCTTCATGACGCTACAAGGGATGTAATATTGGTTGGAGAGCAGGCTAGGGCACAGGTAATTAATGTTACATTTTTTTTTGCCCGACATTCGATAATCGTGTAAAAATAATAAATAATAATAATAAAATAATGAAAGTTATAGTAACGGGAAATGAAAAGAAATGTGGAATTTTCGGTGCGTTTGCTAGAAAAAAATACTAGGAAAGTGATTGTTGACTCGTGTGTTCATAGTTCTCGACTGCGTCTCGTACTTTGCGTCTGCTTGCACTATCTCGTGGCAGAAATTACTTACTTTGGAACTGCATTAAGTGTCTGAAATGATATACTCTTCATGCAGTTAGGAGAAAAAGTAAATTTCAGAATTTAAAGTAATTTTCAGTGCGTAAATTTCTTTGACGGCACCTACACTTACAGCAATGCAACATTCTTCCAAACGCTAATTTAGCATTACAAGAAATTTTGTATGACTCGCGCGTAAATTATGTTAGAAATACTTATCATAAATTACTATTATATTGCGAGTGTCTAGGGTCATTTAAACTATATACATATATATATATATATATATATATATTGAAATTGTCGAACAAGGCACAGCTAGAGTCTTATCTTCTCTAACGCCAAAAATTGTAAATACTAGAGTGAAAGAGATGACAATACACTCGAATGTAGTATGCATGCATAATATTACCACTTACTACTTCTTCTTTTATTCCTTCTGATCCCGCACCTAATTCTCCACACTTCTTGTGTATCTTGTTTGGAAATTTCAGTATATATATACATATATTTACTTTTATACCACAATGTAATACATTTATTTATTTAAATGAAACCCATAAATATTAGCGTTAAACTAATTTTCACACAGGATGGCTTACGACGACGTATGGACAAATTAAAGAGTTCTATAGAAGAAGCAAATCGCGCTGTTGACACGGAGAGAGAAAAAAACGTTAGTCTTCTTCATCTCATATTTCCACCAGATATCGCAAAAAGACTTTGGCTAGGTATGTTGGTGAAAATTAAGTTAGCATGCATTGTATTTTGTAGATAATCAATTTAAACTCAAAAAGTACAATTTTAAATACATATATAAAGATCAACTCCATCAATTGATTGTGTAATATTTAATATTATCAATTGATTGACTGAATATTTAAATTACATTTTCACTCAACTTTCTGTATAAATTTTTAATAAATATTTAATTTAAATTTTTAGTCAACTTTTACGCCAAACATTTCACGAAACTTTAATTTAAATCTTTACTCAATTTTCGCGTCGAAAATTTCTGGAAAATTTAATTTGAATCTTCCGTCAAGTTTTACGCCAAACATTTATTCATTTTGGGCATTTAAATCTTTATACAATTTTCTCTGAACTTTGCAATTAAAGTTTCCGAAGTTTGCAAATAAATCTTTAGGACATTTTCTGGAAATTTTCGGTGCTGTAGGGGATGACAATCTAAAAAATTTGTGTAAAGATTGTTATATCGACAAAACAATATTAGTTAATGCAGAGAAACCAAATCTTAATATGTTGTTAAAATAATTTGGATTTATTATAATAATAATAAAATTGTTCAGGGAAAAAAAATTAGTTGTAATAATAAAAATATATTTGTTAATTTTTCTGAGACAGAAATATTCTAATTTTTCAAATTTAAAGGACTGAGTATTCTTCAAAGATTGGAATTTTCTAAGAAAAGATACCAACATTTATCAAGTTTGACAAGATGGCGCCTGAATAGTAACTAGCTAGATTTGCGTATCCGGGAGCCTCTAGGTAGTTACTAGCCATTCTTAAATCATAGGATCTTTCATCAGTTCAGAAAATTTTTCCAACATCATATTTTTTAATTGCTGGTAAAACGGGTGTTATGAACACCACTTTGGAATTTCATTAAGAAATGTTAATTATTTTTTATCTATTTTTTTCTAGGAGAAACAATTGAAGCTAAAACATATGCCGACGTCACGATGCTATTTAGTGATATTGTAGGGTTTACAGCAATTTGTTCAACTGCAACCCCAATGATGGTTATTAATATGTTACAAAATCTTTACGAGCAATTCGATATTTACTGTGGGCAACTAGATGTCTATAAGGTACTCATTTATTTTCTACAATTTTTAAACAGTATCATTAATATTTAAATCAGAATGTTTTTTAGAGAAATAAAGTTTTAATAATTAGAAAATGTTTTCGCATTATTTGATCTAATGACTTCAATATATTTTTAAAGATAAATCTATATATATAAAATCAGACTTTTGTCTGTACATTGCTCAGAATTCAAAATTTTTTATTTATTTTTTCTTCTTATACACTAAAAAATACGAAAATTATAAAGAAAAAAAATGTCTGTATGTATTTATGTATGTATGTGTGGTGTCTGTCACTAAAATTTTGACCGCGCATCACCCGCAAACGGTTCTGTCGATTTACCTGAAATTTGGCAGAATTTTAGGTGTTGGTCCAACTTAAAATCCTAAATTTACAGAACTCAAAAATATTTAATACAACGTGAAATACGTTCCTTTTTTGAAAAATACTAAAAATCAAAAAAATTTTCATTTTTTGATCGATTGTTACTAAATTTTATATACCTATTTTTTCAGGGCCACTGTACCGCATTTTAACATATTTTTGACGTAATTATTGGTAGATCCAAAGAATTTTGAAAAATTTCAACAATTTAATTTTCAAATTTCACAAACTTGTGAAATTAATATTTTTTAGATGGTCATTTAAAATTTCATTAAATTAACGTATATAATCCTTGATTCACAATTGTTTATTAGAATTATAAAATTTATTACGTACGAAAATAAAAATTTGTAATTAAAATTTTTAAAAGTTTTTTATGTTACCTATTTATTTTTATTATTACTCATTTAAATTACTCTTTTTTTGTAAGCAAAAATGAAAATATTTTATTAATATGTGTAGATATGTACTATAAAATACAAAAAAATAATATTAAATTAAAATAATACATAATATTAATATTAAATAATAATTATAAAAAACAGTTTCAAAAAATGTTGATATGGTAACTATTTAAATAAACATTGAATACGTTGAATATGAAATGTCAATATTGAAGCATGTTTATTTGCATTTGAAAAATAAAAAAGGCTCAGTTTAAAATAAACATTATAAAAAAATAAAATAAAAATAATAAAATTAAAAATTTTTTTTTTGTGATGCACTATTGCCTAAGTGCGAAATGCCAAGATTGCCAATACGGCCCAACATTGTTCTAGTAATGTCTGCCGAAATACGGCAAACGTTACTGGACCAGTACTGGCAATCAATTCGTCCCATTATTGGTACCGATTCTCGGTAACTCCAATTTGCTATAATTTGGCCGAACTCCGTCACATTACTGAACCAATATTGGCACCAATACTTAATAATTCTAATTTTCCATAATTGAGACGAACTTTGTCCCACTAGTGGGTCATTATTCGCCCATTGACGGCTGAAATGTTGAATTTATTTTGACAATTCATTTTTTCCAAAGCTGGAACGAATCTTGGCCCAGAAATGACACATTAACGGCTGAAATTTTCTTCAAATACAGCTTATCAGAACATTTTTGTGTTGAAATTTCTATATCCGCGTATAGTGTAGTGGTTATAGCGTTTTAGACTTCGATGCGTTTGATTGCGAATTCGCTTCCCGCGACCATTAGAAATTTTTCAAATGTTTTCTGTCAGGACTTATATTATTAATGTATATTATATTTCGAATGAAGTCGTCGCTGACTAATATTTAAAAATTATAATACTTTGCAGGAATGATTTTGAAGTTATCAAGATCACGAAATGAAAAGAAAATTTTAATTATTTATTGCAAAATATGAATTTAAAGTTTATGAGGTGCTGAAAACTGTCAATTTTTTAGCCATTAGAAAATATACAAAAAAAAAGAATTTACCATAAAAATAAAATTTTTTTTTGTAATTTACTAAGAATGAATAAATTTATCATTATCAATTGATATAATTATTTAAATATGTGAAATAATATATAAAATATGATTTTCAAGTTCACCTGTCAAATAACTTTTTGCAAATTTCATCTATTAAATGTGAGAAAGAGAAGTCATTAAATTGAAAAAAACCTTACCAAATATAAAGTACCTGTGACTAACTTTTAGTTTTTCTTAGCAATTTTTTCCTTTTTTCTTCATAAATGTGAAATAAAAAGCAATAAAAATTGGCACTTTGCTTATTTTCACTATTTTCAAATGTAAATAACTTTCTTGGAGAAAACTGAAAAATTACAAAACTTGGGCAATATCTAATTGATCACTAACTACACACACTGGAAAAAAATTCGCTTTGGTCCCGAAGATACTTTTTGAGATAATTAAGTTTAAACTTTTCACAATTTTTATCAGGTTAATACATGTAGTTTTTTAATGATAGAACGTCCAAGCGCCCGTCCTGCCGGAAGGCTTTTTTGGGTGGCCCTATATATATATGAGGGTGGTAAAAAGGGAACTCAAATTTTTTTTTTCACCTTTTCTTATTAAAGTAGACGTAAAAACGAAAAAATTTATGCGTTAGACTTTAAAAAAAAAATAATATTAAACCATGTTTCGAAGCCTTCAAACTTTGCATGTTTGCTACAAGCCAAAAAAACAGTTTTTCGTAAATTCACTGTAAAATCTACAAAAACCAATATTTTTCAGTCTAACTACTCTCATTTTCTTCTGAAGTCTTCAAAGAATAAAATGTGATAGTTTATTTTAACAAAAATTCAGTTTAAATATTTTTTTGGATTCGTCAAAAAAACCCTATAAAAACGTCCTTTTTCTTTGAATTCCCTAGCCTAGGGATTTTAATTTACAAACATTATGTTTACATGCGCTAAAAGCTTGTGTTTTTACCTTTCCAACGATATATTTTACTTTTGGATTATCTGAATCCATGTTAATTTTATAAAGCGATTTCGGAGGGACTCCCGTGAGTCTTTTTCATCCTGCCGGAAGGCTGTTGGACGTTCTATCATTAAGGACGAAGTTAGGTTTTATTGGTTAAACATTTTGAACTAACTTCAATTTTATAAAAATCACATGCATTAACCTGATAAAAATTGTGAAAAATTTAAACATAATTATCTCAAAAAGTATCTTCGGGACCAAAGCGAATTTTTTTCCAGTGTGTGTAGTTAGTGATCAATTAGATATTGCCCAAGTTTTGTAATTTTTCAGTTTTCTCCAAGAAAGTTATTTACATTTGAAAATAGTGAAAATAAGCAAAGTGCCAATTTTTATTGCTTTTTATTTCACATTTATGAAGAAAAAAGGAAAAAATTGCTAAGAAAAACTAAAAGTTAGTCACAGGTACTTTATATTTGGTAAGGTTTTTTTCAATTTAATGACTTCTCTTTCTCACATTTAATAGATGAAATTTGCAAAAGGTTATTTGACAGGTGAACTTGAAAATCATATTTTATATATTATTTCACATATTTAAATAATTATATCAATTGATAATGATAAATTTATTCATTCTTAGTAAAGTACAACAATTTTTTTTTATTTTTATGGTAAATTCTTTTTTTTTGTATATTTTCTAATGGCTAAAAAATTGACAGTTTTCAGCACCTCATAAACTTTAAATTCATATTTTGCAATAAATAATTAAAATTTTAATAAAATTCTTTTCATTTCGTGATCTTGATAACTTCAAAATCATTCCTGCAAAGTATTATAATTTTTAAAAATTAGTCAGCGACGACTTCATTCGAAATATAATGGATTGACCCTATAATGAATTAATTAGTTAATTAATTAATAATTATAATTATAATAATACCAATAGTATGACAATGATAATATGAAAATTTGACAGTACTGTTGGTGCCCGAGAGCTATGAAATTTTAAATTTTGAGCAATGTAAAAATTATTGATTTAAAATAAAATATTTCAAAGAAATAATATTAGTTTTTCAGTATATTTATATTTGAAATTTTTTATTGATTTCAAATTTTTTAAAAATTCGAATATATAGAAGGTTTTGTTAAAAAATACTGTTGATACGAAATACTTTCGGTGGCGCACCACTAGATTTCGGAACCCGACGAAGGCGAGCTCGAAAGCTAGTTTAATATGTAATTTAACTATACTATCGCAGTTGCAGACATATATTATTTACATATATGTATACATTTGTTCCTGATAATGTAGGTTGAAACCATCGGTGACGCTTATTGTGTAGCATGCGGACTTCATCGAAATACGAAGACACATGCTCAGCAAATTGCTTGGATGGCATTAAAAATGATTGATACATGCTCTCAGCATCATACTCATGATGGAAAACCTATAAAGGTGATTATATCTAAATTATAAACTAAAAACAAAGCAATTACAAAAACAATTACAAACTATTTATTAACGAAAAAGTATTGTTTACAAATAGAAACGAAAGAACACGGAAATTTTATATGGTTGAATTTGAATGTCCAACTTGAAATAGAAACGAAAGAACACGAAAATGTATGGTTGAATTTGTATATCCAAGTTGTAAAATCTAAACAAACATAAAAAAGGGAACAATTGCAAGAACGGACGAGGCGCTCGGACTGAACCCCCACCACAACGAGATAACGAAAAAATTATCTGAAAAATAAAATATCCCAAAAGAGAAAAAGAAATATATTAATGTGTAGAGAATTACATTACGCACAAGTTCTTTTAATATTATTTTCCTTAATTTTCAGCAGTTTTTGCAAAAAAAATTAAAAACTGCAAAATTGTGATAACCTAAAATCAATAACATTTTGAAACATATATCACGATATCTCCGTTTTTTATAAATAAAATTTTTTGTTCCTTCATACCTAAATAAATTTTGAGTTAAGGAAACCGTTGGTTTAAACAAAATTAAAAAAAAATTTACCAGTTTATATTATTTTTTAATATAAAATACTTGGTTTTGGACTTTTATTATTTCGTGAAGAAAAAGTTAAATAGGTTGTAATAATCGATTGACTATAAGCTAACTTCATTATTTAATTGAAATTCTATCGCCTTTTAATCAAAAGGTTACTTTCCAAGCAACGAATGCTCGAATGAAATTGTTTATAATTTTTACAATTTTTAATAGAACGATCTGAAACTTCAGAAAAAACTTCTCCATATCATAAAGAACACAACTTTGCCGTTTAAAGTTTTTTAGGTAAATCTTTCTTGCATACTTTTTCTTTACCAAATAATAAAAGCCCAAAACCAAATTATATTATATTAAAAAATAATATAAACGAGTAAATTTTTTTTAATTCTGTTAAAACCAACGGTTTCCTTAATTCAAAATTTATTTAGGTAATGAAGGAACAAAAAATTTTATTTATAAAAAACGGAGATATCGTGATATATGTTTCAAAATGTTATTGATTTCAGGTTATCACAATTTTGCAGTTTTTAATTTTTTTTGCAAAAACTGCTGAAAGTTAAGGAAAATAATATTAAAAGAACTTGTGCGTAATGTAATTCTCTACACGTTAATATATTTCTTTTTCTCTTTTGGGATATTTTATTTTTCAGATAATTTTTACGTTAACTCGTTGTGGTGGGGGTTCAGTCCGAACGCCTCGTCCGTTCTTGCATGCTCAAATCTTTCTCCAATTTGGGTCTACTTCGTCCCTACGTCAGATATACTTAAATAAATGGTTATTTTTACGTAACCTTGAGAACATTGCTGTTTCAGTGTAATTTTCATTTTATTTTACTTATTAATAATATTCCTATTATTAGTCAAATAAATACAGATACTTTAGATTTATACATTAATTTTCTCATAGAAAAAGTACAATTTTTATTTTGTAATATCTAAAAGAAAGGAGGTCGCACAAATTAGTCAAGAATTGCTTACATTTTTATGTTTGTTTACATTTGTGGAGTTGCACCTGGCCTTAATTTAGAAAGCTACAATTATTATTATTATTATACCTTATCTCAAAGTAAATGTATTTAGGGTCCATCCATAAATTACGTTGCGCGTGAAGGGGTGGGGGGGGGTCAAGAATTTGCAACATTGAATAGAAAAAATGGCGCTAATGTATGCAAAATGTGCAACATGGGGGAGGGGGAGGGAGTTGAAAATGGTGACAAATCATGCAAATAAATTAATCGTGAAAATAATTTATAGATGGCCCCTTATTACTATATTTTACAGATGCGTATTGGTGTTCATACTGGAATGGTGTTAGCGGGAGTAGTTGGTAAAAAAATGCCCAGGTATTGTCTTTTTGGACATAATGTAACACTAGCAAATAAATTTGAATCCACTAGTGAACCACTTAGAATTAACATCAGCCCAACAACGTATCAGTAAGTATTCAAAATAATTACTTACAACCATATACTATCAAATTCAATGAAAAATAAACAACATTGTAAAAAAAGTGTATTTACTATCTTATATAGATTAGATGTTCACATTTTACATTAAAGAAATTATCACTATAATACGAAAACTCAATTAATACCTATTAGTCTTAGTAATATCAAATAAGTAATACAAATATAATATATATATGTATATATATATATATAATGAGGAAAATATGATATTGAATCACTAGAATTTCTGCCAAAGATATAAAAATTATTGATTCAAGAGCATATGCTATAGAATTTGTAAAATATTAAATAGATTCTATAGCATATGCTTTTTAATGAATAATTTTTATACCTTAGGCAAAAATGCTGTTGTTTAAATAGCATATTTTTTCAGTGTACATATATTAATATTTTTCAGATTTCTTACACAAAAACCCGGATTTATATTAGAAGAAAGAACAAAAGACAATCTACCGAAAGAGATGCCTGCAAATATTACAGATAACTGTTATTTTTTAAATAACTACAGGGATGAAAATATAGATGAAAACGAAGCACTTGACATTCACATTCAAGCTGCTATCAAGGAGCTTGGAATAGTCAGCAGCAATATGTAAATAAAAACTATCTGTTCTGTCAGAAAGAAGAGTCTAAACACCGAAACGAAACTATGTATGTACATGTATACTAAAAAACAACCCAATGAGTAGGAAAAATTAAAAAGAATTGAAAATTTTTGGCTTTCCATAATAACGATAAATTAATCTTTTTAAATTCCATTCTCTGTCCAATACTTTTGTATATGTTTCAACTAAGTTTTCTCTTGAAAGTGAATTACAATATGTTCCATTTTAATACTTGACGAACATTTGTTTTGAATTAAAAGAATACCGAAGTATGTCTCTTCTTAAGCAAATAGTATAGATTATAAAGCTGCAAAGACAATAGTCGAATAACTTAAGTTATTCGACTTCTGCTCTGAAATTCAAAAGTTCAAATCTTCAGACCGACAATTTTTTTTCTGCTTAAAATTTTAAAATGCTGTTGAAAAGAATTAAATTGAGCTTATTTTCAATTACTCCAAATGAATACAAAAGAATTGAACAGAATTGGAATTCATAAGAATAAAAAATTCTCAATTTCTCTTAATTTTCACTTTTTACTGGGAACGTACCAACAATGTTATTTAATATTGTATCTTTCAATATTGCTAAGAGTAATAAAAATGTTTACAATTTAATATGTATATTAAACAAACTAATATCATAGAACTGTTGACATGTACTACAATCAACTCTATTTATCATACAGACATTAGGGTTACTCAAAAAAAGAAAATTTAAATTGAAATCTGTTACTGATGACATGATTTCTTCTTGAAAAGTATGCATTGTCAAAAAAATAATAAAATTTAACGAATTCAAAAGCAAAGTCAGTCATTAATTCAAATTATATAAATGTTTTACTAATTCTTTGGGGAGAAGAATTACAATACTAAAATAGAGAACTTTTAAAATTTTATGTCTAACATGAATATTTTTCAATTGATACTTGAACAACCCTAATGTACAGAAACAATCACAAATTGTTGTTATATACAAGGAACAATGGTTATACACAAAATCGAAAGGGATCAAAAATGTTTAACACGAAATTTTCTGCTTAGGGAATGAAAACATGTTTTATATTTTCCAAATTCTCTTTTTTAATTTATTTTATTTGTATGTATTAATGCGTTTTGTAACACAATTTTTACTCTTGGTTGTTTAACTTTGTTATCTTCATATTAATTCAAAGTTTATTGTACAGAAAACTTACTTTAATATCTTAACTTTTCTTTTTTAAAAAAGGTTTTTATATTACCCATACTTTTTTTTGAAACATTTTCTTTGGAGTTTTATTTATACGTATACGTAAACTCACCTAAATAGCGACAGCATACTGACAACGCATCATCAATAGATTATTTGATTTAAAATTAAGTTTTATACCGTAATTGTATAATTCAAAACATTGAAAAATTAATATACTAGCTGAATTACTTTTTTGTTTAAGTTTGTCAAACCGTAAAAGTATAGCAAAATAAAAAGAACACTTTCATGACTTGGGTTCATTCTAGTTGCAACTCAAAACGAACCGCAATGTTAAACTATATAGAAGGTGGCGCTCCATACGAAGTTCAATTTTGATGTGTTTATAAATTGAGAAGCTTACGCTACTCAAATTGAACCCAGATGTTTTCAGTTCAGATATTCTGCACATTTTGCGGATATCCTGGGGAAATCCAAAGGCCAGGGTATGACCATCCCTAAGCTATCCGCATGTTGTGATGGCAGATATGTATGTGTATTCTACGGTTACTTTTAAAAATAAAGGGTTGACCTAGGTACAAATTAATATGTACATTAAAAAAGTAAATTTTTGATTTAATAATTTAACTAGAATTTAAAATTAATTCAAAAATGTGTTAAATTGACCAGACGTATTTTACAAAAAGAATACTTGCTTATTTTTTCAATCAGCTAAGAATAAACAGAATATTTTTATTCCAGTTATTTATTTTATTTTTAATTATTAATTTGTTCTTTATACACAAGAAATCAAAGTTCAGAACTAGATATTAATAATTTTCTTAAAACTATTTTTTAAAAAAATACATGTAACAAAAAAAATTAAGACCAAAAGTTTATTTTGAAATATTAAACTCAGTTATTATGACACAAATTCCACAATAATGAATATGAAAAATAGTACAATCTCACAGTAGGTACATAAAGTACATATTAATTTGAGAGGAGAGCAAAATCCACTGTCACTTCTTAATAAATTGAAATGCTTCAAAGGTTCACGATCTTTCCTATATTATTTTAATGTATTTTAATCCCCAAAATAATAGTCCTTAGTGTATTTGTTTGAAGTAAATCTCAAATATTGTACAAATGAAGTTCTTATCCTGAATAAACAACAAAAATTTTAAATTAAATGTATAATTACCGTTCATATCATCAAACTTCCTACATATACACACCCTTTTTTCTTTCTGTAAAAATTGAAGACTTTCTTAAGAACCAGTTAAAGAATAAGAAGGCAAAATAGGATAATTTATTTATTCAAAAGTTTATTATCGAACAATATTTATGTAAAAAAAATTGAAAGTTATATATTTAAAAAGACATTTCATTTTAATACAGTTATCTTAAATTTGTACAATATAAATTTGAAGAAATAAAAATATACAATTCTTATAATAATGTTTTGCTTTGCTCTTTTAAAATTGTATAGTAGGAGACGCATTGGATTTAACGGAATGTTATCCTTTGTATTACAATATTATTAAAATTATTTTTTTTCTATCGCATGATTAAAAATACTTGTAACTATTTTTGTCAGTCTGATCCGCACACATTACATGGTTTTAGTATATTTTACAAAAAAATATAAATATATTATTTCTCTTGTGTGCGAAGGTATTTAGATCGTTGTTGAACGATTTTTAATCATTTTGATTTGTCGTATAAGTGAAGTAGATACATCAATATTTGTAAATGTTGTCTTTATATAATTTTTTTTCAATTTATTAATCAAAAAAAGTTATTTTCGTGAGACATGCATGTTTCAAATAATATTTAAAACTCAATAAATATATATTGAAAGAGAGATTCTATAAGCCTGCCAACAAAAGAAGCGCGTTACCTACAAGTGCATTCAATTTTCTGACTCAATAAGACACCCACATAGCACAATATCTTGCTGTACGCTTCCCTTGAGTTTAAACCGAAGATTCGTTAGATTACAGCGTAAACTTCAGGTGGGGTTAAGGTGAGCTGCAAATGTCCTTTTTATTATAGCTTTTACGGCTGCGCAGTATATTTAAATCAACTACTTCCGTTAGGGTTGTATATCCTACATCACAATATATATTATCTGGTGTGAAAAAAATAGTTAAATATTAATAAATAATATTTATTAATATTAATTAACAATAGTGTAAGCTTAAAGGAAGTTTAAAATGAGGCTTATATCTTACATGGAAGCTTACAATAAGTTTACGGGAAGCATACAGTAAGGTTATAGCAAGCTTAACTGTAAGCTGACTACAATCTTACAGTGCAGCTTACGGTAGAGAGAACATTTGCAGCTCACCTTAACCTCACCTGAAGTTTACGCAATAAGCTAACGAATCTTAGGTTTAAACACAGAAAAAACTTAGTCTCATTTTGATATGCAGCAAAAATGAGTCAATGCTAAACGACATAGACAGTGGCGCCACCAACCTGACTCATTTTTGCTGCATATCAAAATGAGTAGCATACGCTATCATTTTGAGTTCAGGTTTTTTCTGTGAACTCAAGGGAAGCTTACAGCAAGATATTGTGCTGTGTGGGCATGTACATTTTCAATATCTATAATAAAAAAAGTACTAAATATTATAAGAGGCATTTCATATGAAAACGAAAGTCTATGTCTCGGATGTTTTGTTCTTCTAGTAATAAATTGTTATTATGGTGGTAAATAAGTATACCAAAAACTAATATACAATTTTATTTATCTCAATATTTATTTATTTTATTTTTTTATATAATCCAAGATATTTGCATGAACAAATTATATAAGATTTATTTCTTTTATTTATGACTTTTTTTTATCGATAATTAGGGCAAAAAATACGTGACATGAACTTTAGTTTTCATATGAAAGGCCCTTATAATTATTATGTAAGTAAAAGGTAAAGCTTTTTATTTAAAAAATACTCTAAAAAATTTGTTACATATTATCACTGAATGATTTTTTGTTTTGTAACTGTAAGAAAAGTTTTAATCCCATTTACAATACTAATTTTCTACTTCTTTCTTCAGCAGACTTTCATGTTAGAATATAACATTTTTAAAAATAAATTTATATTTTGTATTATACGACTCATTTATTGTTAATTGCTTTTCATTTGATTATATTGTATGACTGATGCTCATGTTTAAAAAAATGCTAAGTTTGAAAGTTGCAAAAAATTAATTTCTGTAATACATTATCATTGCGGTTATCAAAATTACGATCTTTTTCAGATCATTATTTATTACAGGCAGAACTGGTAAAAAGGGAATAGTGCTTTTACAATTCCTTTTAGAAAAGGCCTTATCACAAAATTTTCTCTTTGCGCATCAACTGAGCACAAATTGCAAACTCATATATGGAATTTGTTTCTTCTCTAGTGATCATAAATTGAATGGCATTCACTAGAAACTATACAATTATCATACAATTAAACAATATATATATATATATATATATATATATTTATATAAATAATATAAAAATAGTAACAAAAAATGGTTCTATATTGATCACCATCATTACTATAAAGCAACTTAGAATAAATAATTTTTTATTGAGGAAATAGTAGATTTGCATAGATCGATAGGAAAATTATTGCTTTTTTAAAGCAAAAAATATTTATGGAAACAATTTTCTTTAAATGCAATAAAAAAGTTGGCTAAATTACTAATTTTCGCGGTTTATCTTTTATTCTTGAATAATATGTATTAAATAAATTATTTCTTAAAATTTCTTAAAATTGTTACTGAATTAACAGTTAAAATGAAAATTACACTCCTGAAAAATTACAATTCTAGGTATATCATTGCTATTGGTAAGCGCAATTTAATCTCGCCTTGTGCATTTACATATCTATATATAATTACATTTTATATCAATTTCACCCTGCACTATAAAAATTAAGTTTGACAAAAAAAATATTTATACTGAAAATATATATTACATCTTTAACTGTATATCTATATCTATAATTAAATCTCAGAATTTAAAAATAAGCAATAAGTGTCATTTACATGTTGATAAAAAAATAAGTTTTTGTTTCTTCTTTATAGTCTATTATAAACAACACAATTATTTATCCAATTTATTTATAGTCAACAATATAATTATTACGTTGCACTAAGACCTGTTAATTCTTGTGACATGTTTAAAACAAAATTTTTAAATAGCAGTGATTAATAATTTAAAATACGAAGTTACGCCATACTAATTATACGTATTAGATTGACTATTAGAGTTTGGAGAGTATATATATATATATATGTGTGTGTAATAAATGAATAAGCATTGAATAATGTTCATTTTGCAGTGCACATTGGTCACCATAGAAAAAGGGACGAGAGTCTGAGAGAGTAGGCAGATTATTGCCATAAATTGCAAAAATTATATAAAAGTATCAATAAGTATAATAATAAGGAGAGATAAAAATTGTTTTGTCACTAATTTGAAATATATAGTTTTCAAATCTTAATAATAGTGACCAGTCTATATATATATATATATATATATGCAGATGTTTAATTTTCAAATGGAAGCCCTGCACAGGATCGAACAGATGTCTTGAAATTCACTATTTGTCACACATTCACACAGTCTTTCATATATGCAGGTAAACAAACAAAAATTTTCATAGACGAAGAGATATAGGGACACGGGAACAGTCTTATTTTAAACGAAAAGCTCGATCGGAAGAGGATGCAGTGTCGTCAAATTTTAACGACCAATAATTGATGACTGGTCCCTATAGTTTTTAAGTCTACGATAAAAACATTCACACATTTTCTTTGTCTAAAGGCACTACCGATTCATCGAACCTTTAGCAGTTATTGTAATATTCAAAGGCATTAAATTCATACTTATTTTAGGTAATCATACTTCAGTGCCATCCTCGTCTTCATCTTCATAAAGGGGACCATTGAGATGTTTCTTTTTAGGCTTAGGAGGTGGTCTCGGAGGTATTTTTTTTTCTACTTTATTGTGCTCAATTTGTTGTTGATGCTGGTAATTTTCAGCTGTGTCTGTGAGATGCATGGAGCATTCAGCAGCACCCTCTGGCGCAGATCTATCAAATGTTATTACGTTATCATTATTGAAAGTAACATTATCATTATCACTGTTATTCTGGTTATTGTTATTAGTAATAATATTATTATTTGTGTTTGCGTTATGCATGTTGTATTGAATTGTATTATTTAAAACAGGGCTTGGAGAGATGGTCAAATTTCGACTACAGCCATCACGCAAAGAATTGAATCCAGGAATTTCTGGGGTTTTATTTAATGAGATAGCGGAACTACCATCAGCCGTAGTACGTTTACCGAGGTTATCATATACTGGCTCAACTTCGTTATCAATGTCTATCGGTGAAATTGGAGGACCACTACTCCAACTTGGTGCTCGAGGTCGTCTGGGAATCGTAACATATCCTTGACGAGATAAAGCAGGAATTATACTACTGTTACCCGCTCCAGCAGAACTGCTGTAAGGTGTTCCACTTCGATTGTGTGGCAAAGTCTTGAATCCATTACCACTGCCTCCACATGTATATTGGGGTGACGAAGTAGGTCCACCAAATTGACTGAAAAGGTATTGATTTAAGAGACGTGAATTATCAGGAGCTGTGGATGCCTGACTAGTTGGAGAAGAACCTCGTCCACCATGGAAAGCCAACAAATCTGGAGGATATTGTCTATTATTAAAACTATTATTGCCATAATGACTGGTCCCATGAAAAGCAGATCCACTTTCTAGTTCAGGAGTTACGCGTATTCTGTCATCTTCTTCATCTTCATCTTGAATATTAATATCTCCGATACCGTTAGCAATCATTCTTCCGACACCCTCAGCTGTAAAACAATTTTAATTAGAATTTTATTTAAAAAAATTCTAAATATTTAAAAAAGTTTTAAACAATTATTTCACACTTATAATTAAAAAATAACAATCGTAAAATTAATAAATGATTAAAGTCGTATTTTTCAAAATGTTGTAAGGCTATTAATTTTTCATACACCCTAGAAGAACATAAATCAATTTTTCACATATAAAAAAAGAAATTAATATTAATTAGGGTAAATATAAATTAATGCTTACCAAAAATTGAGTCGTTATCTAGTAAAGTTCTATTCAGTTCAGTCATTTCTGTACCATGAGAGGTTATTGACGGAGTATCATAACGCCTAATCGGTTTCATAACAATTGATGTTGTTAGTTCTCCCCCAACTGGATTTACAGAAGTGATTAAAGACTTTTCAAGCTCTCCAAATCCTTGCTGATCCAAAGAGTCGTTGTGGTCAACACTACCTGTACCTTCGTGATGAATTTTCTTATCGGGCAGTAGCATTGACTGCCTACGACGACAGTAGAATAGACAAAGAGCTATCATCATCAGAAGGAAAAATAACAATGCTACACTCAGACCCAATGCAAGAGGTAAGCTGATTATGTGATGACTTGAGCCTCCTTCTTCATCATTGAATATATCACCACTAATAACAAGAGTAACATTTGCTTCGACAGAACCCCCTGGACTTTGAGCTATGCATACATATTCTCCTCTATCTGCTGCTGTGACATTGGGAACAGTAAGATTAACCCAGCCACTGCTGTCAATATTTTCAGTCACAGTATAACCTAGTGTTTCAGCACCACTATTAGGGGTGGTAGAACTACTATGATGTCGTCTTGTAGAGTTGTTTAGTATGCGAGAACGATGAATCCAATGAATTCGTGGCTGAGGTATTCCCACTGCTAGGCAATCAAATCTAACTGATTCTCCACTTTCCACGTGCACTTGTCGGGAACTTGGTACTATAGTCTGAATTCTAGGTTGACATGCGAATTCATCACTGCTTACCTCATCCCATTTCTTTCCATAAAGGTATGATGGATGCTGACAGGTTGTTTGCTTTGTATATAGTTTTCTTTTAATCGTCCAATCCCGTAACTCTTTTAAAAAGCAGTTGCAATTCCAGGGATTATTATCCAGTTCTAAGCTTCCCAGTTTTGGGAGCTTATCAAAAGTTATCAACTTCAGATCAGTAATATTATTTCCATTTAATAATAACGTTTGAAGGCCGGGCAAGTTTTGAAAAGATTTTTCTCCAATTGTTTGTATTCGATTTCTCGACAAATCAACTTTTTGTAAGTATGTAAGATTATCAAATAAGCAATTTTCCAATGATTCTAGATAATTTTCATTTAGAAGTAAAACTCGAAGTCGATGTGTTTCAAAAAAAGTCCCTGGGTAAATGTATTTTAGACTGTTCCCAGAAAGATCAATTTCGATAACAATTTTCAGTCCCTTAAAGGCTTCTGTTTCTATTGTCTCTATATCACATTGCTTTAACGTTAGTTTTTGTAGATTTACTAAATTCACTTTGCTGAATGAAAAATTATGTAACTGTACAATGGAATTGTCAGTAAGATCAAGGTATTGAATTTCTGATGACAGAAAGCTTGGAATTTCAACAAGATTTTGCCGTATACATTCAGCTGTTTTTTTACCAGAAACCCACTTGCATTTACATGGTGATAGGCATTCCCAATTGTCTTGTCCGACAACGTCTTTACTCACAAGTAGTAAAATTACAGAAACAAGCAAACACTGCAAATTCTTCATTTTGGTTTATATAAAACTATCACTATGAAGGTATTTAATAAAAAGCTCCTTCTCTTTTTGGAATGATGTACTGTTGTAAACTGTAACAGAAAAATATTAATTATTATTATTATAATCACTTTTAAAACGTTAAAAATATTATTTCATTTTTTCATAATTCATCTTAAAAACTAATGCATTCAAAGATGCTTTTGATAAATTTTTTGAAACAACTTAAAAATGAATACACCAATATATCTAGTAATAAGTTGCCTTCTTTTTACCATCAAGTGTTTTTCTTCATTTCTTTTATTTATTAATTGTATTCTAAAATAGATGAAAAATTTTCTAACTTTATTAGTGGAATACAGTTATATTTTTCTATCACATTTTTTATTTCTAATTAGAAATTTCAATATTTTCGTCACTTCATGTTCATCTTCAACTCAATACAGATCTAGGAATAATATATATTATGTGGCAACGAGAGTGAGGCGAAGGTGAACCAAGTCGAACCGAAGTCGCAATGACAGCGAGTATTGAAATTTCATCCGAAACTAAAAATTGCTTCGAACGAGCAGCATACGCTATATTTTCATCACTGACATGAAAAAGTGAAACTGTCTAAAAATTTTTTTTTTGGCAGTTAACTGACAACAAAAGTTTTTTTTAGACATTTGTCAAGAATTGAAAAAAAGGAATTTTTTCACATGTCAGTGGAAAAAATAAAATCTTTTATTTACAAAAGTTTAAGGTGAGTTTTAGAAAATACTAACGTCTAAAGTTCTGCTTTTCTCCCTTTCGCCCAAGACGATCGTTAATAATTATTAATGGTTGCATGGATGAATACAGAAGTATATTTTGATGCTCAATGCAAGACAATCTAGTTCTTTCATCGAACAGCATACTTGTGTAGATCTGAAACAATTATTGAAAATATGTATTAATCATATTTTCATTCCGCTATTTATCAAAAAGAGCAAAAAAAATGTGATAGATTAAAATAAAGAACTGTAAATGTATTAATGTAATACAATTTGGTATTAAATCATTAAAGTCAATGCTCACGTAAATTAGTATATTACATCAAAAAAGTCAAAAAAAAAGAAAAAGTTGACCATAGATCAAATAATAATTTATGACATAACAAATTTTTTAAAATTTGATTAAACAAATTGTATAAAAATAAATGTTTAAAGTCAAAAATTATTGTTTATTGGTTCACAGTCAAATTATCTGCATATACACGAAGCTGAAGTACGCAACGTTTATATAAACGATTTTTAAAGAAATAATTTTTTACAATGAAAAATTCTATAATTTTTTGCCTAAAAAATATTTCTTGTAGTTTTCATTAATCAACAAATTATACAAAAAATATTTTTTAAGCAAAAAATTATAGAATTTTTCATTTTAAAAAATTGTTTCTTTAAAAATCGTTTATATAAACGTTGCGTACTTCAGCTTCGTGCATATACAACTTTTATTTCCAATTTGTTAACGGAATTATAACCCAAATTGTCTAACAATATTTTGGGTAAAATTGCATGAAAATAATACGTCAATATTTCTGCACTGAAAAAAATTAATTTGATTCAAATAATTGGTTACTTGACTATTGACAAATAAATATTTACCTGAATCAAATAATTTTTATTTTAATTAAATAAACTATATTTGAAGTAATAATTTCCGCATTTGAAACATACACAATTCAAATGACTTAAATAATTATAAATTGATAAAAATCAATATTTATTTGATAATATAGTCAAGTAACCGATTATTTGAATCAAATAAAATTTTTTTATTGTGTCAACACTGCGATTATAGCAAACTTGAATTGCAATATTACAAGAATATTGCTATATAATATTCGGATAGTATAATCATACTATTTGCATATTACGCGAAGTAATATTCTCGCATTATTTCCACAATATGCATATTTACAGACAATATTGTAGTGCAATATTGGTGCAATATTCTGGATATTATATGTTGTGATATTTGGGCACGTTTCATTTGATGTAGGTATATGTCACATAATTAACATAATTCTCATATTAATGCAATCTTTCCATTGAAATGAAAATGATGCCAAATATGAATTAATGTCACTTGAAATTCAAGTTAAAAGGTACTATGTTAAATTAGAATTATGTCATATAAAAATATTATGATGATGAAATATAATTTCATGTCAATTAAGAATATTATAATAAAGAATATACGTATCTGGTAGATGAAATTTGCTATACAGTATGGCATTAATGTTTTAGTTTTTATAACAAACTATCTTTGTTAATAGAACGCAGGAATAATTTCTGAAAACTAATTGTCGGAACTTTCATTTAACAGAATTTCCATTGAGCAGAATTTTATTTATTCTAATTATTATTTTGCAGAATTTTCATTAAACCAATTATCTACATTACATAATTTTTATGTAGGGGAGACCGGGACTGTTTGGCGCAGGGGTTGCTTGGCGCACTTGAGTTTATTCAAAAGTGTTGTTACATTAATTTTTCTCTTTATTCTCCATGAAGTACTTGATGAACAATATTCATTAATTATTGTGGGGTATAGATTAAAATAACTGATTTTGGCACTCCAAAGTAATTTTTTAACCTCTTCATTTTTTTGTGATATCTCTTTAAAAAATTAATTTTAGAAGAGCTCAAATATTAAGTTTTGAGCTCTATACATTTGTTATTAAGAAACAAAAAAAAAATTTTGATTTATTTTAACAGTTTTTATAAAAAATTAATAAATATTTCAAAAGTACATTCGGGGTTAGGTGGCGCGGTTATCTGAAAATTTCGTTAAGTATTAATAAAATGAAGTTGATTATATTAAATTTACACATTAATAAGCACCACACTGTTAAAAATGTTTGTAGTTTTAATATACATAAAGTACTTAAATTTAAGAAACTGGTATATTAGAGTGCAATTCATATACAAAGTATATTAAATTTTGTCACTGAAAAAAATTCAAATAAAAAAATTGCATTTTACTCAATTTATACATGTTCTTGTGTACAAAATAAGGTTTTTATTAATAAAGCAAAGTAATTTCTTTCATGTAAATATAAGTTTAAATCAATTTACATTGTAAAAATGCATATAATTTGACATTTATAGTACTTAACCTAAATGTCACATATAAGTATTAAAATTCTTGTATTTAGAATGTTTTTTTTGAAAAATTTTCCCCTTATAAAACATTATTTGGACATAAACAATACAATAGTTAAAGAATTACGCACTGTTGTTTCAATTTCAAATAAATTTTCAATATCAAGGAAATAATGACCGTTTGGTGAAATAGGCATCTACAGCCGCCATGTTGTCACTTTAAATTTAATATACATGTATCTTAGATTTCAATACCTGTACTGCATATTCGCTTCATACGCATGTATATTAAATCTAATACAGATTTTTCTAACAGTGCAATAACAATCCTATTCAAAAAATTTAACCGAATAATTGTTTTTAAATATTCACAGCGTTATTATAAAAAAAATATTTTTTGGTAATTTTACGATTTCATTTAATTTAAATGAAATTTTCTAATTTTTAAATTTAAAATAATTTTATTGTAAAATTACAGTACAAGACTTATTGTGTTAAGTCTTATATTATTTAACCTTTAAATCATATAATTTAATTTTAATTTCACTCCTGGGCCGGGGTTGCTAGGCGTGCTTTGTACAGCTTCAAATAAAGTGGTATAAAAATAAAAGTATTCAATATATTTCAACTTTCTTTTTTTTTTTAAATTAAAGGTGATATGTTACAACAAGTTTTCTATACATTAACTTTTTAAAAAAAGCAAAAATGAGTGAGTTACACAACAAAGAGTAAAAAGTGCGCCGGTCTCCTCTAACCGAAAATACATTTCACAGAATTCTTATTTGTTCTACCTTACAAAAATTTAATAAAATGGTTATTATATCAAATGAATAATGATAATTGGAAAAAATTAAAATTCTGTATAAAGTGATATTTCGGTTAAATATATAAAAATTCTTTGATATAAAAAATCAATTTGGTTAAAATTCAGCAAAATAATAATTCCAACAAATAAAATTCAGCTTAATGGAAATTATATCTAATGAAATTCTATTATAAGTACATATACATATATACGAACAGCAAAAAAGTTAGCAATAGGTGTTAAATTTATGATTTTTTCAGATTTAACAACTAAATTGTATCAAGTATTTTTTGTTAAGCAATTTTCTTATATGTATTTTGATTATTTTTGATAATTATGTACTGTTCCTCTGAGGACTTTTTAGCCCTAGAAACTTTTTTTTCTTTTATCATTATTACTTTCGTTATAATTATTAATGAGGGGCAAAAAATTTTTATCAGTTTCTAATTCGTTTTAGAAAAAAAAATTTATTAAAAAAATAAAATATAATTTTTCCTTACAGGGTGTCTTAACAACTGCTAGGAAAAAAATTCCTTGATTTTTCCCTGATCTAAAATATACTAAAAAATTTTTATTTTGATCAAATAAAATTTATTTTGACACAATTAAATCATTAACCTGTCTATTATCCACTAATTTCATATGGATTTGAACCAAATAAATAATGTTTCATAAAAAATAAAATATTTAAGTGAAATAAATAAACTAATAATTGGGGACGTAAAAATATTCTCAACATTTAATTTAAAAGAATTTTTATGCCGTCAAATCTTAAATTATCAAATTTTTATTTAGTAAAATTATATAAAGCAGATTTTCTAACAACATCGAATTTCAAATTAATACAATTTAAATTTAACAGAATTTATATCAAGAAAAATTGTATAAACAAAATTCTTAATTAACAAGGTTTTTATTAAAGAAAATTTTAATTCGAACTAATTCTTATTTAACAGAATTCTCATTTAAGGAAAATTCTACTTAGTTCTTTTTTTGTCAATTTTTATAGACATAAATTTCGTTAAATTGAAATTATATTAATTTAAAATTTTTAAAAATTATTAGAAAATAAATGCTTTATAAGAGTTCTGCTAAATAGAAATTCTTTTAAATCGAATTTAAGTTAAATATAAATTCTTCGATATGAAAATTTTGCATAATATAAAATCCACTTTGTAGAATTATGCTAAATATAAATGCGATAATTTAAGATTCGACGCCGTAAAAATTTTTATAAGTTAAATGTGGGTATTAGCATTAAATAATAAATTATTCGAATGAATAATTTATTTTATTTGAAGTTGAACCGATTAAATAAAGTTGTATCAAATAATTTTTATTTATACTAAAAAAGCAAATATTTCACTGGAAAAAATTGATTAATTATTCCAAGTTTAAAAAGTCAATTTATTAGATTCAATAAATAGTAGTAATAGTAGTTACTTTAATTTATTCATAAAAAATTTCCAGAAAAATAAAGAAATTCCCTGACTTTTTCTTGACCGTTAGACACCCTGCCTTAAAATGTAACTGACAAATTTTTTATCCAATACTATATAATTAATAAAAAAACATATTAGCAAGATTTTTCAGATTTACAGTATGAAAATTTTCATAAACAAAAAAAAATGTTGTTTGATAAACTAATTAAATAATATAATTAAATTAATTATTTGTTTAAAATAAAGGCGTAGGTATATATAGGTATATTACAAAAATAAAATTAAAAAAAAAATTACATAATTTTATAGTTAATTAAAGGTATTTGCTCTCACTACCTGATATGTGGGGTAATGGAATCGAATGACTTTTCTAAACTATTATTTTTTTCAAAACTTTGTAGAAACCTTTCAGTTTCTATGTTAAATGATATCAAAGATAAATAAACAAAGTAGTATATAATTTAACTTATAAATTTGTATTTATCAAACTTTCCCTTAGATGGATTTATATTTTCTATGTACTTTCAATCTCTTGTGAATATCTATTTGACACATATATTATATTTACATTTCTTACATATATTCGACGATTATCCATAAACTTTAAAATTACTATCAAGATAATATAAATGTAATAAAGATTTTTTTAACATGAAATTAAATCATGTAAAATTAGTAATACCGGTTCATAATTGCGGCGAATAACAATACGAACGTGATGAATAACAAGTTATATATCTACTTGTATATATATAATCTTAGCGATTTCACATTTGTGTGCTACTAAGGATAGAATTGTAAAAATTCTATGTGCATATGTGTAAGGATGTCTGTCTAACTGTGTGCGCGCGCAGGACATGAATATCGTGTAAAAGACATTCTTATACATTGCTTCAGGGCCGTTTGTGAAGGAAGTAGCGCCCGTGTTTTCGATCGCTTTTTGACGCGACAACGTCCAAGACATATGATTTCGTTGCTCGTCTAAATTGACAGATATTGACATCCTTCAAACTTTAAAACGCTTCTCTCTTTAATTTTGAGGGATCACTATATAGTTCAATTTTATATAAAAATTAGTTAATTTGTCATTTCTATGGACACATTATTCAAAAATATCTATTACTTTCATTGTTGAGATTAAAAAAATTGAAATTATTTTATTGATAATAAAAAATTATAAGTTATTCTTAAATAAAGTAAAACGCTGAATTATTGCAATGTAATAAGTGCATAATGAATTGTTGAGAAAGAAGAATTTATAAATGCAAAACTAATATTCGTAATCAATACTTACTGATCCATAAATAAAATGCCTTTTGTATGTATGACTTGCTCAATGGTTAATATACTCTAGTAGCCTTTGAATGATGCTGTGATGCATGGTTTCTGCATTACCGACGGAATATCCATGCAATGAAACATCTCTTGACACTGGATTTCCAAAAATTAAAAATTCCTCTCTAACCATTAAACGACATGAATCAACACCAACTGATAAATTTGACAATGCGCTTTTATCTTATTAGCAATTATTGAAGTAACGTACAACAAAATAAAAATAAATTTTTAGTAATAAAATATCACGTGGGGACGCCGCAAACATAACTGGAGTGAAAAGTAATTCAGAGTTATTTTCCTTGCTTCAAGTATATCTACAGTATAGAATGGAAGATGATGTTAATCACTTAATTTAAGATACGTTATTGTATAGAGGTTAGATGAAAAAGAATAACATTATAATACAATGAACTCTGTTTCTCTCTTTATGTGCATATAAATATGTACGTATATACATATACAACTAGAGCACACTTCTATGTAAGTAAACCGCACTGACGACACACAGTACACAACACAGGCCAGGCAGTTTTAGACTAGTGCGATGGTGGTTAGTGTGGGTGCAACAGTCACCATCGCGACTGTTGTCAGACGCGCCCTCTATTGCAGAACTGAGCCAATTCTTCATCTGCTCTCTCAACATCATATACTCGTACATACACTGTCGCGGCCCCGTTCTGTTCGGCGCTTTTCTTTGCCTAGCTTCATGAGTTACTCCTATTCTCTCATTTACATGTTCAAATACGTTTATTAGTATCAATTATGTAAATTTGTTATCTCTGTTCCTCCAACAATCTTTTATTAGCGAATAAGATCCCACCAATGAATGCCAATAAATGTACCCAATGTTCTCATATTCTTTCATTAGTAATTTTTAATTAATCTTTACTATATACAATATAGGGTGATTTTTATATGTATCAGCACCCTAAATTTTTTATTTTAATTTCATTTTTTTGTTTGAAAAACGAAAACAAATTTTTATTATTTTTTTTTATTTATTAATTTTTTGCTTTCTCTCCTCCCGAGGAAGCTTGGTATTCGTGACGATTTTCGATTTTTTAAAAATGGGTTATATGGTATTATTTTTATCTAGAATGCATATATATTTGAAGTTTTAAACAAATGTCCAGATGTATGTGTGTGTGTGTATGTCACATAATCTTGTGTGCAAATTATCTCTAATACACTTCGATGGTTTGTCCTGAAATTTTGTAGGCTTATTACAGTCATCAATATCTAAAATCAGACGCAAGGATTTCCAAAAATATCCACATAATTTTTGCTTATGTTACTTTTTCAAAAATTCGGAAATATGCTTTTAAAAAAAAATTTTTTTACACTAAATATAATTTTTTTTGTTTAAAAAACTGATATCTCGCATTAAAACGAATTGATTAACCTATATAAAGTCTATATTTTAATTAAAATCTATAAATTATGTCATTTTTTAATATTTGAAAAAAATTTTTATTTGTGTTTTTTGAATTAACTTTTTTCTTCATGAAAATTTTTAATACATTTTGTCAAACCTGCATTCCTGGCACAAAAAGGTATCGATTGATGTATATAAAATTTACATTTTACCAGTATTTATAAAATTGATTACTATTTTAGTTGTAATCCTTTTTTTAATATTGAATACTAGCAACACACGCGCGTGCAAATGAGCAGTACCAACATCCCAGTGGTCAACTTTCTTATATAAAATTTTTTAAATCATTATGATAATGTAATTTTACACAAATTGACGCCAAAGAGAAACTATAAGGCTTTCGGCCGTGAGTCACAAAACCCAAAAAATTGACACCCCGATATAAATAGGGAAAGACACCTATTAACGAACTTAAAGCAACCCCTATCATAAAAAAATCGTAGCTTCAAAACTGTGAAAGTTAAGGGGGGGGGGGGCAAACTTATTTCCGAAATTTCGAGTTTTTGTAATATTACCATATTCAATCCAATTTCAATAGACAATCGCGTAAATAGTAGGATTTTTTGAAAAAAAATTAACCGATTAGACCCTCTACTCTACATTAATATCTTCGTTAGGAAAAGGCGAACAAAAAATATATGGTGCACATCTTGATTAAATCAATAGATTTGAAAATAATGGCATATAAAAGTCGGATTTTTTAAGAAAAAAATCTGGCAGCCCCCTGCGGGGGCGGCCACATTCTCATCACGCGCTTCGCGCGTAGGGGCTCGCTTTGCTCGCTAGTTTGAGCGCGCCCCGGGGCGCGAAAAGGATAATCGTCCCGCTTCGCGGTCCGATATTATTACGCGCTTCGCGCGTTTTGTTTGTTTATTATACAATTCAAAACCTATTAGCATTAATTACTTTTTAACTACACTCTGTAATACAAAAATTTTCCTATTAAATTTAAATATTGTATTAATTGTACTACCAGAAAGTAGTTGAATGACCCAAGAATCTATTTTGTAGAATGAGATTTTGTAGTTGTTTCAGACTTTGTAGTTGATTTAATTAATTTTGAAGTAAAATGTCAAGAAGAAAGAAATTATTTTTATTAATTTTATTAAAAAGAATAAAATTAATTACACACAGAGTTAAAATAAGTAAAAAAGTAGTTATTTTAAAAGTGGATGTTCATATAATCGACTTGTTTTGAAAAATTTCTTAGAAAAAACTCATACTCTTTATTAAAATGCGTTAAATTAAATTATAGAAATAGGTAAGGTTTAAAGGTATTAGAATAAATGTAGCACTGTAGCTGTTCAAACTTAGTTCCTTAATATTGCGCCGTGGATTGGCCAGGTCTTTGTAATTAACAAAAATCGACAAACCAAATTATTTACTAAAATAAGATATTCCGCTTTGAGCTAATTTCAATTGAGTAAAAGAAAAAATTAATTGAAGTGCGATTCCAGGCGAGATTCCAGGTGAGATTTTGACTTTTTCGAAGTAGGTTAACCGATTGCAATGAAACTTTGTTATATATAGTAAGACTAATCTTTAACGTAAATTTCAGCTTAAAATATTTGTTAGTTTACGAGATTTGCAATAATAACAAAAAATGCGAGTTTAACTTATTTAATTTTAATAATTTACGAGTATAAACAATTGCGATTTCTGCTAGTTGACGTGCAGACGGCATTGCGCACGCAGCATTCTCCTATAACCAGCTGACGTGATTCGTGGACTAAATTGGCTACGTGAGAATGCTGCGTGCGCAATGTCGTTAATGTTCCTTTGGAACATTAAAGAAAACACAGGTAAGATCATTTTAGCGTTTGAGTGATTGAATTTTAGATTGTCGCGTGAAATTTATTCAATTATTATTTAATAATTTTTTTAGTTGTAAAATTATAAAAAATTGTTCTGAAAGAGATTTATTCCTCTCATTTTCCTTGACATTTTAAAAAAAGTAGACCTCAATCCGATTATTAGAACGGAAGATATAGCACTTTAAAATTTTTTGTTATTATTGCAAATCTCGTAAACTAACAAATATTATAAGCTGAAATTTACGTTAAAGATTAGTCTTACTATATATAACAAAATTCCAAAGTTTCATTGCAATCGGTTAACCTACTCCGAAAAAGTCAAAATCTCACCTGGAATTGCACTGAAAATTTAAAAACACTAAAAAAAAGAACTTTAAAGTAAATGCATTTTTTAAAGCAACAAATTTATTATATGAGGTTTCGCTCTCATGTTTTTATTCATACAAATTTTTTTGTACAATTTATATAAGTGAAATTTTTGGTTTTTATAAATTAAATTTCATTTTCTTAAAGTACTTTGACTTTAAGGATAACATTCTCATCACGGCACTCGCGTTTCACGCTCGAAAATTAGAAACATACAATAGGAAAAGGAGGCATGCATTAACCCATTAACGAAATTTTTACAGGTAATTTGAGGCTCTATCAAATAGTGTACTAAAAGAACCGAAAATTTTTAAATAAACAATTTACAAGCATTAAAAAAAAGATTTTTTTAGAATTTTTGTTCAGTTTTTATAATTTTTCAAAACTTATCCCTTCAGAATACCTTTAAATGCTAAAAATATGGTGTCAACAATGTTCCAATACGCCATTTTGAATTTTTAAAAACTGACTTCAGAATCGTAATGAGCGACCTAAAAACCAAGGAGTAGAAAGATTTATTTAAATTTGTTAAAAAGATTGTTGAAAAATGAATTTTCTCTTAAAAAATAGCAATGTTTATACTTAGTTAATTCATAATTCTTTATAATTTCGCCTGCTACACTTATTATTTTTGTTTCACTTCACAATGCTTTCGTTATAGTGGAAAAAATGTTTTAGGAATACTGCTTCAAAAACTTTAAATCTAGAGATGAAAGTTGCTAAAAGAAAAGGTGGCAAAATAGGTTAAAACTGGGACGCAAAAAATTAATGAGTAAAATAACACATCGAAAATAATTTAAAATTTTTGTTACCTTAATCGTTATAGAACATAACTTTTTTAACTTTTTTGTTTAAATCTGTATAGAAAAGTGTTAAAGAAAAAAAAGTTTACAAATCTACAAATAAATAAATTTTAACTAATTCAAAAGTAAATAATCGAAAAAATACGAAATTGTGGTATAAACAGCGCAATATAAAGTATTTCAAAATAGAGGATTTTTTGAAAACAATTGAAATGTTTGGAAATAGAAAACAATAGTTGGACTTATAACAAAAAAAAAATCGGAAATTTATGAGTAAGTCACTGTTATTTGTGTTAATTTAAGGTGGTTTAAACAGAAATAATACATAGATGAACATAGTTTTTCAAAATAAAGTAATTTTTAAAACCTATTTTTTCGGCATCACAAAGGCTTGAAAAGTGGAGATTTACATGAATTAGATGTTGGTCAAAATCGGGCAAATGTAATACTTACTCATTATGATGAGAATGTAAAAATAAATTTTTAATTAAAAATTTAAAAAAAATAGAAAATGGCGGACACAATATGGCTACCCAATATGACGGAAAAATTTGAAATTGATATGCTTCGTTCAAAATTCGGTGCTAGTGAATTTGTAGGGTCGGTAAATCAAAATTTCAGGATCGATTTAACAAATTCAAAATTTGGATTCATAGACACCAAAAATCTCCGTGTACCGAATTTTAAACTAATCGAATCAATGGTAAATTATTCCGTTATGATGAGCCAGCCATTATGAATTTTTTAAATCTAACCTCAAATTCGAATTCAGGGACCTCGAAAACAACAGTGTACTCATTGATACTTAAATAGAAAAAGATTTACTATTTTCTTCAAATGTGTACAAATACGTCCAAAATCACAAAAACGGAACGTCTTTTTATTGGGATATATATGAGCCATGGACTGTCAAGGGGTTAGATAAAAAAAAAGGGCTAAAAATAAAAGAAGTTCACTAAATTCAAAAGTTAGCAATCGAAAACTTACGATATTCTAGTAAAAACAGTGCAACATGAACTAATCAGAAACATTATGAAAAAAATTGCAATTTTTGGAAATGTATAGCAATGGTTCACTTAAAAAAAAAAATTTAAAAAAAAAAAAAAATTCGGTATTTTATGTGTAAGTTACTTTAATTTATGTTAATTGAAGGTGGTTTAAAGA